TTAAGATATACTGTTTCTACCTGCAACGTATGTGCGATCAGTAAGTACTACATTGTGCAATGAACTTATGGAAGTTTTTGATACAATAAACTTCACTTGCGTTATAGATTGTCTGAAAGAAGTAAACATATTGTTTAAGCTAGAACTTTTATTCTATCACCTTGAGCAATGTTATGTAATGTATATACCGTCCCTTATCTGCAATACCTTTACATTCCACGTTCTTCGGAAAGCTTTCTATAATACCCTTACCATCTTATCGTTTTACTTTCAACTAATTGGTTTTTATCATTTTTAAATGATCATACATAAAACTTTCTGTATGACTCTAGATAGCCTAACAATGCTGGTGCGACCCAAAATTACAATCAATCAATCAATCAATCAATCTTTGAATTGCTTCATTTTGAGACGCATCACACCCAAACCCTCATACGGTGGTGTGTATTGAGTCTATGTACCGTCTGTATGAGAGTCTGTGTAACAAACAGTTTGGGCATAATGTCTCAATTTGTTTAAAGTCTACAGTGTGAATGACATGCACATCTGGTTTGGAATAACTATATATTTCGGTGTCCAAATGTAAAGGTCAAGGTGAATGTCACTGTAGGAAGACACGATTTATACACAACGTACAGTCAAGCAAGTATGTGAGTCCTTATACATTGTGTAAGGTGGAAGACTGTCGATATTGGGCTCCGTACTACAAGGACACTTGCCTGAAGAGATACAAATTATTTTCATGCAATAGCATATACACATTAACCAAATGTGTTGGATGGCCAGGACATCATTTTAGGTAGAAACACGTTGATTTGGAAGCCAATCTAAAATGGTTTAGGTCACTGAATCAAAGAAAACATTGTTTCTGCACAAAATGGTCAGTCACTCACCATGTATATTTCCCAATATTTGTGGATGATTTAAATGCTGAGTAAGATATTTGCCTGTTCATATTCGGGTCAAACGTTTACATATACTGCGACATCCAATCAAAAGTGGATGCGGAAAATAGTTTGATAAAATCTTAATAATTTGAATAACACTCCATCTCATCCCTGATACTGTCATTTCGTGTCCGAAATGCTTACCATAAGGTATAAGACAAAAGTAAAGATGATATCGAATGTTGTTTCCTAAAGGAAGATGGTATGGTGGAGACGATATCCGTATCTGTGAAATAAAGGCATATATAAATAAGAATTCCCTCTAATGACTTCAAAAGCAGTAACAGAATATACACATGGAGATTTATTTCTGGGACTTCCTTATAACGTCCTTACAAGCAGCTGATACACCATGTTTGACTCAAATAATTTACAGTAAAACATATTAAGAGGAATTTCGAATTGAAGCTGTCAATGGTAGTGAAAGTTAATATGTTTCATAATATGCTTTAATGGAATGTGTTTATTCCAGTCTGTTAATAGCGGTAGCAATAAAAACGAGGGAGATTGTACAGATTTCGGAAGCGTATTATCAATATTAAATTTGGAATATTTTGATGACGATTGCAACCTCTATCATATCAAAAGTTTTGCTAACTTGTTATATCAAATTCATTTGTAATGAAATAACTTCCTTCGCAAAAATGGGAAAACGCTCTCTCAACATTTATCCTTCCGCTCAAGTTGGACGATAATTTTGTTATAGTCAATAGTTCCTAACTATGCCTTATTTGCAATACGGACATTTATTGCCCACTAATTATCAAACAACATAGTTTTAATGATGATGAATGGGGTACAATGCTATGAATAGATACAACCCGTATGGGAAAATTTAAAACACGTATCTTTATTCATCGATATTCATGACATCGTTTATGCATTTTAATAACAAACAGACAAAAACATCCATCTAGCTCCTCATAACAATATTTTGCTTGAATAGTCATAACTCTGCAAATAATTGTTGACCAATATCAGTTAGGAAATACCTGCCGTATATAAACTGCCCAAGGATAAATAGCTACTTCACCTAGTTCCTCCTTCAATAATAACAAATTTAGATTTTGGTATATTATTGATTGATGAGTATCGCCGCAAGAAATTTGGATGAATACAAAAGGGAACCTGGCACTGCAAACACACATAACAATTTGTTCATTTGATTGTCATTATACAGAATAGGTAAGCATATGTGTGTATATTTATTGTTATTACAGTTCGCCAATTTATAAGCTCATTTGCTTCAGGAATGACGTGAATTTTATGGTTGCCATTTTATGTTTGTGGAGAAATCGCATCCTTTTTCTAATTTTCTAAAACATGTATCTACTGTTTAAATTAAATATATATTGTGGTTACTAGCAATAGTTGCATCACGAAGAATTGTCATATCTTTTGCAATGTTTCCTGACAGATTTGTAAACAAGGACGCCGTTTATGTCCGAAATATGACCGAAATGATTAATAACAAGTGTCTGAACTGCAGATACTGTATTAATGTAACATCACTTCTAATCTGAATTGTGTTCATCTTTCATAAAAGTAGAGAA